CAAGAGCCGCTTCCTTCATCTTCCTATCGGCCTCCGCTTCCCTCCAGACAGCGAGCTCTGAGGCGGAGGTGTGGACATCCATCAGGCTCAAGAGGGTGCCGGCTTCTGCAGACAGTGGGCGGGGCTCTTTAAGCACCGCCTCCTCGTCCTCAGGATCGGGAGTAACGTCGCTCAGGGCGGCGTAAGGGTCGTCCGGTGCAGTCAACACTAGATGCGTCTGATCCGCTGGTTCTCCAGTCCTGGGACTCTCCTTCCCTCCCGACTTGCTCTCAGAATCTTTCTGCTGCATCTTCTCAGTTGTTTTCTTCGCAACCTTTGCATCCTTCGTTTTCTCCTCTGAGGTTTTCTTGTCCTCTTTCTTCTGTTCTGCGGTTCCTGGTTTACTCTTGGCTTCCGTTTGTTTCTCCGATTTGCCCGCAGTGGGATTCTGGGGTTTAGACTTGTGCTTCTCCGTTAGGGATTTGAGCTTCGGCCCCGTCTCCGCCTTTCGGACGTCGCTCTCGGTTTCCGAGCCGGATTTCTGCAGATGAGTCTCGTCCACAGACGAATCTTTCCTATCCATCCGCACCTTGGGCTTCTCTCCCACTTTAGTCTCCGGGTGACTCCTTGACCGCTTGAGAATCTCTTTAGGGTGCTTGTCTTGCTTCCGGCTGACCTCTGAACCCGTCTCGACCTCTGACCTCTCCTCTGAGGAGCCGGTGGAGTCCAGACGCCGGAGCAGCTTCGGTTTCTCCTTCTCGTTCACAGCTGTCTTTCCTTTCTTCAGGTTCCCTTCATCCGCAGCTTCAGAGACACTCGTCTTGCTTTCTCGAGAAGACACGGAACTCTTCCTGTCTGGCTTGACCTTTGACCCCTTCTTCTCGTCAGCTGCTCCTTTTGCAGTCCCTCCATCTTTCTCGTCGGCTGTGGCGTCTCCGCTCTTCCTGCTCTCCGTCTTGAGTTTGTGCTTGAGTCGTTCGTCAGGGACGCCGCGCTCTTTCTCCTTCTCTTTGAAAAGCGAGTCTTTCCGAGCGTTTTTGCGGCGTTCCTCTGTTCCCAGCTCCAGGTCCAGGATGAAGGAGTGAATGCGTTTTTTGTCAGGGAGTTTCTCGTCACTATCTGTCATCTTCCTATGCTGCTGCTCCAGATCAGACGGCCGTCGCACTGACTTCAGACCTACGGGCTTCACCTGCAGAGAGACGGACAGAAGGGTTCACTACTGAGAGACAGACAGAGAGAGAGAGAGAGCTGGAGAGTGAGAGACACTTACATCTTTGCTGACTGAATCACCTTCAGTGTCACTTTTATTCCTCTCATCCTCTTTTCTGAAATGCAGGAGTTAATGAGAAGTGTCTTACCATCTGGTCCATTTATGCATCATATGGAGTTTTCTGAAAACCACTAGCTTTAGGGAACTAGTTACTGGTCATACCAAAGTTTGCCCCACTAACCTGGAGTCTCTCTTTCTCTGTCTGCTCAGAGCCACTTTCTTCTCCAGGACCTTCTTCTCTTTTCGAGCCTCTTTAGCTCGGGGTCTCTGATCTGCAAAGATAGTCGCCTGTTTCTTCCGATCTGTTAGGAGAAAATCATGACAGAGATCAGATCATCAACACACACACACACACACACTCACACGCTCTCTCTCTCACACACACACACACACACACATACTCTCTCGCTCTCTCTCACACACACACACACACACAC